GGGACAGGAAAGCTGGTAATAGGAAACCCAAGTTTGAGAAGGGACAGTGATGACATGTCATGGGGTTGTTAACCATTGTCATAAAACAATATGTGTACTAACTGTTTAATGAGAAACTATTTGTTCTGTAAACCTTCATCTAAAGCACAATAAAAAATAAAAATTCCAAAAAAAAAAAAAAAAAAAGAAACTAAAGTCAAAGCCTCAAGTCATTTGTCCAAGTTTATTTAGCTAGTTAGTGGTAATTATTGGATAAGGAAATTCCTATTTTTCAGATTCTGGTGCAGTGGTTTTCTTCTGGGCATGCTCTCTTGGCTCTTGGTATTATCCACCTTCTCAAAGTTAAAAAATATTTGGCTAATGTTAAAACTCATACAACTGTCCGGTTCAAGATTTGACATGTATCCATAATCTTTTTTTCATAAAATTCAGCTTCATAGCTTTTTGTATATTCTCGTTGTCAAAATGCAACCCAAAGAATTCCATGAGACTTGGAATCTCACGTAGTTTCCTGCATGGAAGGCAAGAATTCTGCTACTGAACTGCCACTGTCCCCTAAACAAACTTATCGTTACAAAAATGGCAAAGGTATATGCTCAGGCTACAGCTAGGTTGCTTTGTTCCTAGATTAGCTGTAGTCTGAGTATCCATCTTTGCCACTTTTATACGAGTAAGTTTGTTTAGGGAACAGTGTGTTTCGGTGGTAGAATTCTCGCCTTTCTTGCCGGAAACCCAGGTTTGATTGCCAGCCAAAGTACCTCAGTTGCACAGCCACCACCCATCTGTGCAATTGAGATGTCAGTGGAGGCTTGCATGTTGCTATGATGCTAAACAAGTTTCAGTGGTGCTTCCAGACTAAGACAGGCTGGGAAGAAAGGCCTAGCAACCTACTTCTGAAAATCAGCCGATGAAAACCCTATGAAGCACAATCGTCTGAACTGCAACTGATCATGGACATGGCATAGGATGAGGCAGCATTTCGTTCCATTGTGCATGGGGTCACCATGAGTTGGGGACCAACTTGACAGCTGCTAACAAGCTTAAGGATAATACTAATGTTTATAAACTCTTGTTATGGTACCAGATGCTGAATGAGTGCTTAACCAATGTTATCTTAAATTAGAATTTGCTTAATTAGGGTCATCAAAACAACCCAATGAGGTCCATTTTATTATCCCGTATTACAGATGAGGAAACTAAGTCTCATCAAGGGTAAGTCACTTGCCCAGTTGCTTACAGCTAGTACAGAGCAAAGATCTACTTTAAATCCAGGGCTGGCTGACTTTTAAGCCCATGTTTTTTCTCGGCATGCTACATCTAAATTGTTGTGCTTGGAATACTTGGCACATTTTCCAAATCAAATAGATCCAGAGAAAGTGAATCAGATAAATTATGCCTCGCGTGTATATTGAGACTTAGCTACATTAGCAACCAGGCTAATGTGTCCAGTCATTGACTGGGTACATGTTCTACACTCTGGTCTCAATAAAACAAATGGGAAAATCATGCCCTTTAGGTATGTTGGAATGAAAATAGTGCAATTAAAAACAAGCTAGTATGTGGATGATGATTATACCCTACCAGATGAAAATATCATGAATCTACTGATGAATATGTGATAATTATGCTAAGAGACAAACAGAAACAATCTTCTTTATCAAAGAGGAAAAATCGTAAAGTTTGTTTAGCATCATTCTGTCTGAAAATACAGCCCTGTGGGAACTTCAGTGATGAGCAGACTTTGAATGTCACTAAGTAGTTCACTGCTCCTCTAGTCCTGCAATTAAGCCTGTCCTAGGACTTCTGGTTGTGATCTGAAGAATCACAGAGAATATTCTTACCACCAATAACCAAGCGAGCTCTAGGAGGGTTACAGGCTGAATCATTCCGTCTTCTCTGTAGGTTTTCTGCCTTGACCATTTCATAGACTTCTAGAGCTGGAAGGTATCTTAGAGGTCATCTATGCCAATCATTTTATAGTTGAGGAAACTGCAGCCCAGGGAAGTGACGTCACTTGACCCCTGGGCACACAAAGAAGGGGTCTCCTGACAGGGAATCCAGGACTCTTTCTACAGCAGCTCGCATGCAGGGTTTGGGTGAAGTTGGGTGATTATATTCTTTACTCTGCTTTTATAAAGTTGACATCCTGGATTTATTTTAAAAAGAAAACATGCAAGACTCCTGCAGAGGAGACAATCAACAAATATTCTTAGGTCTTTACAGCTTCAACCTGGTCGCCTACACCTTCTATATTAACATCATTGGCCACTGAAATGCATTTCCAGAGCCTCTTCCCCCTAGAATGTCAGTTTGATAAGAGCAGGGAGGGGCCTTGATTTTCTTGTTGCTCACTCTTTCCCCAAAATCAGAAACAGCTTCTGGCAAATAATAAGCAATTGATAAATATCTGCTGGATGATGAGTGAATTTTTCTGTTTGATGTCTGTCTCCCTTATGGGCTGGGAACTGCATTAGGACAGGAGAAACCACTGGCACTGCACTCCTGAGTCCCTAGCATGGTGGCTGCCACATAGGAGACAATCAACAAGGATCTGCTGAGTGAATAAAAGAACACTTCTATTTTATTTAGATATTGTACTTACTGGGACATTAATGAGGAGCCCTGGTGGTGCGGTAGTTAAGAGCTACGGCTGCTAACCAAAAGGTCTGCAGTTCGAATTCACCAGCCGCTCCTTGGAAACCCTATGAGGCTGTTCTACTCTGTCCTGTAGGGTTGCTAGGCGTCAGAATTGACTCAATGGCAATGGGTAGAACATTAATGAACATAAAATAATTATTTAAAAGATGCTCAGCACAAAGGGTTTGTGGCACCACATAACCAGAAATTCAATTAACCAGAGTTGAAGGTACCTGTGTTTCCAATAAGGAGCCCTGGTGGCGCAGTGATTAAAGCACTCAACTGCTAATCGAAAGTCGGCAGTTCAAACCTGCCAGCTATTCCATGGGAGAAAGACGTGACAGTCTGCTTCCATAAAGATTTACAGCCTTGAAAACCCTATGGGGCACTTCTACTCTGTCCTATAGGTCGCTATGAGTCGGAATCAACTCGATGGCAGTGGGTTTGGGTGTTTCCAATTTCCTACCTCCTGAGCTGAGCATGATTTTCCTTACTTACTATAGGAGGGCGGTGTGAAAATTAAAGCCCTAGCTGGGGCCCTCCCTACACAATTGACTTGATTTAGTTTGGATTATCCAGGTCTTTCTGTATAACTCATGCTTGTGGGGACACTTTTCCTATCAGGACCTCTACCAGAGAGACGGCAGGAGAGAGAGAAGTAGAGGGAAAAATGCAAAAGGAGGACTTAATCATTTAGTAAGCTCTGACAGTGCGATGTGCTGGCAAATACTTTAGGTAGGGCTTCAGAAAACCCAAGTGGTTTGTGATTGGCCGCTAACCTAAAAATTGTTGGTTTGAACCTACCCAGCGTCTCCACTGAAGAAAGTCCTGATGAACTGCTTCCGTAAAGATTACAGCCGAGAAAACCATATGGAGCAGTTCTACTCCATCACACGTGGACAAGTTAAGTAAAGTTCTCTAGGTTCTAGGTTTGCTTCCTTGCTGACCTCACAAGTTGTGTGTGTATGTGTGAATTTCAACTAAGAAAGCATGATAGCATTTTTATAACTAATATTGCAATTATAAGATTCTATTAGAACTTATAATATGGTCAGACTGCCTGGATTTGAATCCCAGCTCCACCACTTGCTAACTGCGTGATCTTGAGGAATCTCTGAAGTTCTTGGTGTTTTGGTTTGCTCCTTCATAAAATGAGAATAATAAGAATACCTACCTCAAATGATTATTAGGACATTTAAATGATCTATTATGGCAACCGGCAACAACAACAACAACATTATATGTGAAGTGCTTATATAAAACCAAACCAAACCAAACCCATTGCCATGGAGTGGGTTCCAACTCATAGCGACTCTATAGGACAGAGTAGAACTGCCCCATAGGGTTTCCAAGGAGCAGCTGGTGGATTCGAACTGCAGACCTTTTGGTTAGCAGCCATAGCTCTTAACCACTGTGCCACCAGGACTCCAAAGTACATATATAGTGCCTAATAAATGTTTGCTGTTATTATTATTATTACCGTATAGCAGTAAAATCAGAGACTATCAAAACTTCTGTTGTTGTTATTGGATGCCGTCGAGTCGATTTTCGACTCATAGCTACCTCATGTGACAGGACAGAACTGCCTCATAAGGTTTTCTAGGCCGTAATGTTTACAGGAGCAGACGCTTGAGTCTCTCCTGCAGAGCTACTGGGTGGGTTCAAACTGCCAATCTTTCGATTAGCAGCCGAGGACTTAACCATTGTGCCACCAGGGCTCGAATCAAAACTCCTAGTAAGTGAATGATTGAAATGAGCCTATTCTTTATCCATGCCTTATTTTACTTCTCTCTTCTTTTCCCTCTTCCCCACCACCTCCCCATTTCAATCATGCAGTCAGTAAGAGAGGGAAGAATTATACATCACGCACTGACACCAGCTATTATAAGGCAAACTTTGTACTTTAGCTGCTCAGTGAGATCAAAATGGTCCTAAAATCATTTTCTGTTATTCAACACAACTGCTTTGCATTCTGATTTAGTTTGCATATAGGTAAATTGCCCCTTCTGGCCCTAAATGTACAGTCATAGTATCATTTTCTTACAGGCATGATGACTCTGAGTGTCCTGCCAGCCCAAATGACAGTGCTCAGCCTTGCCTTCTTAATCATCTGTGTGATAGAGGCTCGAGGAACTTTTAATCTTTTAGAAATGAGAAAGAAAGAGCTAACAAAAAAGAGTGAACATTAAAACAAAAAGTTGTCTTATCACAAATGGCAACATCCACTGATAGAAAAACAAAAGGAATAAGGAGAATAAAGCTAGCCCAGATGCTTGCTTACCCCAAGAATTTCGCTGAATAAGAAGGCGTAGAGGGGTGTGACTGCCCCGTTGAAAGATGCACCCACAGACCCTACCAGCATGTAGGGCCACTCCGGAGCATTCAATTTCAGAATCCTCCTGACCGGGGCGGGTTCAGCGTCCTCTTCCTCAAGAATGTCTGTGTCCTTGAGGGAAAAGAGGGTTATATTAATCATCCAAGTGTGTTCCCAGATGTTTTGCACATACTCTTTTATTAGACAGCAGATCTTCTAGACAGCAGATCTTCTGGCATTTGCAGATTTAAGAGCCGTGATTTGATTGGTTATGAGTGACCTTGAAAATCTATGAGACGCAGTGATTTCTTATTCACAAGGATTGGTTTTGAATTGGATGTGGACTGAGCAGAGAGGACTGACTACTTATCTGAAGGTGAGTTTGTAGTTCTCATTTCACAGTCACATATGTAATTAACTTTCAGGGAGTAATGAATATGCTAGATCTTTGGGAAAAATAATCCCCAATTAAAAATAAAAAAATAGAACTGAAGCCACTCCGGAAGTCTAGCCAAAGATTAGACAGGCCTATAAAACAAACAATAACACACGTGGAGAATGTCTTTCTTAGTTCAATCAAGTATATAAGACCAAATGGGCAACACTTGCCCAAAAGCAAAGACGAGAAGGCAGGAAGGGACAGGAAAGCTGGATGAATGGACACAGGGAACCCAGGATGTAAAGGGAAAGGGGGAGAGTTGTTGACACATTGCGGGGCTTGCAACCAATGTCACTAAACAACTTGTGTATAAGTTTTTGAATGAGAAACTAATTTGTTCTGTAAACTTTCACCTAAAGCACAGTTTTAAAAAATGGATACAAATGAATAAATAAATAAATAACTGTGCCATAATGGTATTTACACATATGAGGATTTGTAAAATTTTTCAAGATGTGTCCTTCAAAAGTGTCAAGGCTCTATAATCTAGTAACTGGCTAAAGATCTAAGTCAGGCCAGTATATCTGAAACGAGGCTAAATTATTTAAAAATTTATAATGTGATGTCAACAGTTATCATTTCCACATTTTCAGTAAGACTTTCCTTAATTAGTACCCAGAAGTAAATGATAATCTACTTGGATTTCTAAATTCACATTTTCTTAACAAGGAGTAAAAATCAGTCAATATTTTCCTATTCTGACCTCTTTAATTGTCATTAAAATGTCAGAAGCTAGCAAATTTTTATCCTCTCAAAGGCAAATATTACATACTGAAACCTATCATTTTTACCATCATTTTTCTCTTTGCTATAGATATTAATTGGTGCTTGGTCTTCAGATCCATTTATTCAATAATTTGTTAAATTTATTACCCACTTTGTTTGAGAAAGGATTTTAGGTGGCTTATATAGATTTCTATTGAAGTTTTTTGCTTGTTCTGTTAAAATATATATGTGTGTATATATATATATATATATATATACTATAGCAAATTAACTACAAAACTATTAGTGCTCTCTTTCATAAAAAATTTGCCCTATAGGCAGCTGAGGCAACAGCAAGGAACTTCAAATACTTTCCTTTTGCTTACACAGTCAAAGATCACATTACCAATTCTAATAAAAACCTGTGTTGTGTCCATTTCATCATAGTTTCAAGCCAAATAGAATGAAGGAAGGCTGCTCAGACTGGTGATGAATTTATTATTGCCTCCATTTGAAGTTCTCTCTTGGCCTGCCCTCCACATTTACACTTTGTCATTAATTACTACTCACTCATGCAGCCAATCTTTCTGTTCAATTATTTCATCTCTGACAGCTTGCTCACTCCAAGCAATCGATGCTAGAGAGGAAGAAGTATGCCTAGGAAGGCGTAACTGGAACAGGCATAGAAAGAATGAGCTTCTAGTCTGGGCCCCAAACTGCTATCAGTGGAATGTATAACCAAACAATTTAGCTCTCTGAGCTTTAGTTACCTCATCCTCAAAATGAGGGAACTGGACTAGGTTGCTCTGGGGAGACATTTCTCTATGCATCGCTCACATTTCTGTGTGTCTTGTGAGCAGAGGCATTGACTGCCTTTGTTCTGACTATTTTTTCAAGGATGTTTGTACAGCAAACAGTCCTGGAAGACAGAGATAGTGTCTTCCTCTTAAGAAAAGGGCAGATGTGCTTACTGCCTATTTTAAAAGATTGGGGTTCCTCAAACTCAGGACTACTCTCGTGTAATACACTTCACTTCATTTGCTGGTATCATCTGACTGTCTTTGCATCACCTTGTGAGAATGGGAGGTTGGGTTAGGGAACTAGTGAATTTCTTGTATTCTGGCTACTGTTATTGTCGTGACTGGTAAAGTCTTTTGTTTCTGACCCAGGGCTCTTGTGTATTCTGCCAACATCCATAAAATTGTGCCAAGCTAACTTCTCAGTTTGAAAGTAGAGCAAAATATCAGATCCTTCACAATTCTAGACAGTTGTTGATGTCCAGACCAGGCTGATGATCAGACTTATGGGGGAGATAATTAAAATACATATTTTGGGTCCTATCACCAGAAATTATGATTTAGTAGGTATAAGTTTGAATCTGTGTTTTAAAAAATACTCCTTAAGTAATATTGGTGAACAAAGCCCAGTTTCTGAGACCCTTAGAGCATGTCCAAGATGCCTTCCATTGCTAAATGTCTAAGATGCTATAATTGTATGTTTTCAACTTGCCAACTGTGCTGTACTATTTAGGGGTACACTGAGAAACTTGTAAAAATGCATTAGCACTCACTTAATTCTGCCTGCTTCCTAGTGATATTAACCAACAGTTGTTGTCAAGTCTATTCCAACTCAGTAAGCTCATGTGTGTAAGAGTAAACAATGTGCTAGGGACTCCCAAGTAATATTAAACTTCCTCATTAATGGAAACACTGCCCCAAGGTTGGTCCACCTACAGCGTGACATGATGAAAATTTCCCTGTTATTCTGATCTGACAGTATCCCTAACCTTAAACAATAACATTTAAGACATTTGAAAGCAATATGAAGTAATTTTTGTCCAGCAGTTCTCATTCCAAGATAAACTGATAAGAAGCAAAATCAATTAATCTAAATAGCTTTCTTTTGTCCCCCTACCATAGAAGTTTGATGTTAAAGGAAACTGTTCTTTAACCCCCTGAAAAATATTCAACAGTCAAACCTTAATGATGCAAACACTAGAAAATCTGTCCCTGAATAATTGATACACGATTGAATTTTATTTTTACAGCAACAAGTAAAAAAAATTGGCATAATGGCACTTACGAAAATACCTCATGGGGGTAGGGCATGTCAGCAAACAAACGTAGAAGGTGCACGTTATTTTCATAAAAATACATTACATCATTACATAACTGCCAAACCACTGACAGTCATGGCCCAGCCAAGTTGACACGTAACCTTAACCATCACAGCCAGCATTACTCTTGCCTTGCACTTTAGCGTTCATTACTGCCAGACGCACATCATTAATGTGCAAAATAGGTAGTAGATTTTTACTATTGTCGTAAATGCAAAATGTTAGATAACAAGAGAGTCGGTACGTGAGGAGTAGGTGTATACTGGCAGCAACTCCACAGCAGGGAGAGGGACAGTAGCTCTCATTTATCTTTATATCTCTAACATACTACTGGCCACAGAATAGCTGTGCAGTCAATGTTTAGTGGATGAAAGAATGAATGAAGCTTTTATGCCCAGAGTGCCTATGTGCAAAAACATGTATTTAAAAAATATTGACTGTTCACCTACTGTAAGGATTCTGTTTTGCCCAGTTTCTTTCCTTAAGCCTCCTTGTATAGGCCAGGTGAAAATTTAACTTCCTGCTTCAATGCTATGTCCTGCTGACTACTCTTTGTTGCACTAGTTCTGCACTCCTACCCTAGTGGTCTCCTGCCTTGATAATGCTTTTTAAGATTTCTTGATTAGAAATAGTAAATATGACAAAGGAGCAGAGACTCTCCAAATGAGCAAATGCTGCTAGTCATTTTCATGAGTCCTGTCTCTGTCCTATCTCTTAATCAATGGCTAAACCCTAGATGATAATTGGCTGTGATGAAATTACAGATATCTAATATTTGACCCTGACTTGATCTGGTATGCACTCTGCCCTGTTTTCTAGTTTCACTGAAAGAGATACTTAGATATCAGAGACTGGGAGAGCCTCTAGCCTACAGGCTTCCCCTTATCCTGAACTTAATTTTGTCAGAATTAATTTTGACCCCATTTATGGTAACAAAGAGCATGGCTTAGAGAGCAAGGAGAAATGGGCTATAGCCTTAGCTCTGTCACCAGGTAACTATGAGACCTTCGGTGAGTCACCCCACTTAAAAGTTTGGAAGCACAGGCTCCTTATGAAAACATCTCAATTTTCAGAATCAATACTATAAGAGATCACAAGGTGGAGATAACTCCTTTATGTAAGTATACCTTTTTACATTGTAACATAAGATAGAACATCTCCCAATTTGCAAAAGGTAAGATCAGGGTTTCTCCCTCAAAATGAGAAAAAGAAAGGATTTGCCAATGCTTGGGCTTGCAGAATTTAGTTAAGTATTAAAATAAAATACCAAACTGAGCAACATTTACTCATACAATGTTACTTGGAATGAGAAATTCCTAAGTCAAATTTTATTAACTTTGATTCCATTATTTCCTTTTTAAAAATAATTATTTAAATCTAAAGGACTATATTATAATCATTGTGCAAATTAGGAATATTAAGATAAGCATAAGATCTTTCCGTCTTTGGGCTTTAGCAAAAACACATTGGCTTCCCTGTCATGTTTTTCCCCATTTCTTCCTTTCCATCTCCATTACCTAGAGAGAATACAAAGTGACAGAGCTTTAAAACTGCAATGGTTTACATTTAATTGAGTTTAATTATTCCATTTTTAAATTGTAATGCTGATGAGTAGAATATTATGTGAAATGTTTCATCTCTCTAAAACTAATTCCTATATTTCATTTAGGTTTCCTTTTATTTAAATAAAGAGCCCCCCTGCAAGAAACCCAAAGGGATCTACATAAATGGAAAAACATACCATGCTCATGGATAGGTAGACTCAATATTATGAAAATGACAATTCTACCCAAAGCAATTTACAAATACAATGCAATCCCAATCCAAATACCAACAACGTTCTTCAAAGAGATGGAAAAACTAATCATTAACTTTATATGGAAAAGGAAGAAGCCCCAAATAAGTAAAGCACTACTGAAGAAGAAGAAGAAAGTAGGAGGACTCACACTACCTGACCTCAGAACCTACTATACAGCTACGGTAGTCAGAACAGCCTAGTACTGGTACAACAACAGATACCTTGACCAATGGAACAGAATTGAGAACCCAGATGTAAATCCATCCACCTATGGTCACCTGATCTTCGACAAAGGCCCAAAGTCCATCAAATAGGGAAAAGACAGTCTTTTTAACAACTGGTGCTGGCAAAACTGGATATCTATCTGCAAAAAAATGAAACAGGACCCATACCACACACCGTACACAAAAATTAATTCAAAATTGATCAAAGACCTAAATATAAAGCCCAAAACTATAAAGTTCTTTGAAGAAAAAACAGGACCAATGCTAGAGGCCCTAATACATGGCATCAACAAGATACAAACTATAACCATCAACACACAAACTCCAGAAGATAAGCTAGATAACTGGGATCTTCTAAAAATCAAACACCTGTGCTCTTCAAAAGACTTCAGTGAAAGAGTAAAAAGAGAACCTACAGACTGGGAAAAAATTTTTGGGCATTACAAGTCAGACAAAGGTCTAATCTCTATAATCTACAAGAAAATCCAACACCGCCACAACAAAAAGACAAATAATCCTATTAAAAAACGGACAAAAAAATGAACAGACACCTCACCAAAGAAGACATTCAAGTGGCCAACAGACACATGAGGAAATGCTCACAATCACTAGCCATTAGAGAAATGCAAATGAAAACCACAGCGAGATACCATCTCACCCCGGCACTACTGGCACGAATCAAAAACACTGGAAATAACAAACGTTGGAGAGGCAGATGCCCATCAATAGATGAATGGATAAATAAACTATGATACATACACACAATGGAGTACTATGCAACGAGAAAGAACAACAAGGAATCTGTGAAGCATCTCATAACATGGATGAAACTGGAGGACATTATGCTGAGTGAAATGTCAGTCACAAAAGGACAAATATTGTATGAGACCTCTACTGTAAAAACTCATAAAAAAGTTCATACACAAAAAGTAACAATCTTTGTTGGTTACGAGGGATGGGAGGGGTTGGGGAGAAATACTAAATAGACAATAGATAAGTGGTAACTTTGGTGAAGGGTAAGACAGTACACAATACTGGGGAAGCCAGCACAACTTGTATAAGAAAAAGTCATGGAAGCGCCATAGACACATCCAAACCCCCTGAAAGACTGAATTGTGGGCAGAGGGCTGTGGGGACCATGGTCTTGGGGAACAGCTAGCTCAATTGGCATAACACAGTTTATAAAGAAAATGTTCTACATTCTACCTTGGTGAGTAGCGTTTGGGGTCTTAAAAGCCTGTGAGCAGCCATCTAAGATACTC